TCAAGATGAGGGAGGAAGGTAAGACCTCTTCCACGATTGGGTAAGGAAGAACTACATTTTGCTTGTGTTTGTGTCTTGGACAGTATGTCTTCCTCTCTACAAAGTGACTTTCTGTTTTTTGCAGCCTCTGACGTCCTGCTGAACAAGAAGGAGCGCCGCAGAAACAGCATCAACAGGAACTTTGTGGGCGACTACATCGGGACGGACAACCATCCAGAGATCAGACAGTTTGTTGGCCGCCGAGAGAGGATCGACTTTGCCGACGTCGTGGTGAAATTTGACCGAAGATTCAAGGTAAAAACTACAGAAAGAAACTACATTTCCACAAAGTCTGTCTGATGCTTTGACCCAGTTTGAACGCCCCCCTTCCTCCTCCAAGGTGTTCATGTAGTCTTTAGGATAGTCTGTGAAGTCTCACAGAAATGTTATCAGATTTCTGGGGCAAGGTCATACAACATAGTTTAATTTTAATTTATAGTTATTGAGCCAATTGTTTGATTACCTGGGCAAGGACAAACAGGTAAATCAAGACCCTGGTACTGCTTAAGGGAATAGTTGTGGATAAATCCTCTAGTGATGGCACCTCAGTCCGATCTATCTCAGAGAATCCAGTGTAGGAGAAGGAAAATACTGCAGCTTTGCCCGTGGTATCCCTGTGACAGGAGGTGGGCTCTGCAGAACTTGGACTCCAACGCTCAAATACCGTCTGCAGGAAAAGATTGAAGAGGAGCCCAAGAGGCACAAGTAGGCTTCTGGTGGTGATGATGGCAATACAGGTCAGCTAGGACTCAGCAGCTTCACCACCGTTCAGTTAGATTAATACAGGAAGGAGGTGTGGGGAAGCATCAATGAGGCTCAGAACAGTGTGATAGTAAGCAGAGACTAGGTGGAGTGTGCTGGAGTGGAAGCTTCCATGGTTTGGTAAAAGATCCAGGCTGTGTACGTGTCCGTCCAACCTCCATCCGTCAGGCAAGAGTGAGGCCGACAATGCCATGGCGTCTGCTCTGCTAAAGTTATTTCAACTTGGTCCCAAGTAGCTCGCTGACTGGAGGAATGAGACTCTAAAATAAGGGGGAGGATTAAAGGAAAAAACTGGGATGAATACTTCATCCAGAGAAACCAAGACTGGTGCCTGCTTCGTTTTGTTTCCTTTCATGTTTCACCAAATTCAGTTTAAGATTCACTGCCCGACTGAACTCTTTGTTTCTGTCCACAGACAGTGAAGCGTGACCTTATCCTGACCCCGAAATGCCTGTACATGATTGGTCGAGAGAAGGTGAAGCAGGGTCCAGATAAAGGCCAGATCCAGGAGGTTCTCAAGAGGAAGATTGAGCTCAACAAGATCCAGTCTGTTTCCCTGAGGTACACCAACAGAACCAGATCTAGAAATAGGGGCAGACCTAGAACTGGAGGTCGGGCTGTAATTGGGACTGGAACCAAGTCCGCATCTAGAACTATGCCAGGAACAAGATGAGAACCAGAACGAGAATCAGGATCACTAAAACTAGAACTAGAACCAGGAAAGGGTATGAAATCAGAATCGGGAACAGAGCTAGAACCAGACCTAACAAACTTGGGCTAATATGATAGTTCAGTGTTTAGTTCTCGCTAACTTTTCAAAAATCGAAGCAAGGAAACTAGCTACTCTTTTAAAAACGTATATTTGTGTACGAATTCGGCTTTTTTGTCCGCCATCTTGATGAGTTTTCAAACTCTACGGCGGCCGTAGCCACGCTGGTTTATGGGTAACAGGCAGCATCAAGTCAGCATCGATGCTGCCTTAAGAACCGGCCGTTACGGGGTACGGTTTGAAGGCATCTTACGTGACAGGACGAGTTTGTTCCAGCTGATCGGAACAGCATTCGATGCCTCGCTGTTAGACACCTTCTGAGACAGCAGTTTTAGCAGTTTTCAAACACAGACCTAAAGCCACGGCCAGAACTGGAATTAGAACTACAACCAGGACCAAGAGTAACTTAGAACCAGGACCAAAACTGGAACTGTGACTTGAACTAGAAATACACTGAACAAAATTATAGACGCAACACTTGAGATCGAGTGGCCTTTTACTGTGGCCAGCCTAAGGCACACCTGTGCAATCCCCATTCTGTCTGATCAGCATCTTGATATGCCACACCTGTGAGGTGGATGGATAATCTCGGGAAAGGAGAAGTGCTCACTAACACAGATTTTGACAGATTTGTGAACAATGTTTGAGAGAAATGGGCCTTATGTGTACATAGAGAAAGTCTTAGATCTTTGAGTTCAGGGGGCAAAAACAAAAGTGTTGTTTCTAATTTTGTTCAGTGTAGAATAGGGCCAAGACTAGACAACATTTAGAAAATGCAGCTCATAAATTGACACATTAGAAGAGAAAAAATACCTGAAAAGATTAAAAAAACACTTAAAATGTTTGGTTCATCTTGTCCTTGTTGATTGGTTTTCTACCCGTTTGTCTCTCTGTCAGCACTCTGCAGGACGACTTCTTCATCATCCATGAGGAGGAGTACGACAGCGTTCTGCAGAGCGTCTTTAAAACAGAGTTTCTCAGTCTGCTCGTCAAACGTTACCAAGAGAAAACGCAGAAGAAGCTGCCGCTCAAATTCAACAACCTGTCAGTAGCCTCACTTTTTATTTTGTTTTGCTCAAATATAAAAAAAACATGTCCAGTTCTTACAACATTGCCTTGATTTCATGTTTCCAAGTTTAACACTTGACTAAATCTACTCCAGATGTTCTAGTAACTAAAGCCATCTGACAGCTGTGATGGTTTTCTGAATGAACACGTACATGAAAATCGGCTGAAGCCCTCCCTCTGTCTCTTTCCTCCAGGCTGGAGTTTAAGGTGAAGAAGGGCGGCTGGGGTCCTTTCAGCTCCTCTGGGTCCAGACAGGTCCAGTTCCAGATGGGTCAGGGGGACGAGGCGGTCCTGAAGCCCAGCGGAAAGACCCTGCAGGTCTCCATCGGACCGGGTCTGCCCAAAAACTCCAGTAAGTTCTCACTGGACTCACCACAGACTCTCCTGCAACTTTCTGTGTCCTCGTCCTCACTTCCTGTCTGTTTGATTTGTAGGACCAACGAGGACGGACAAACGCAAGAGTCGCTACATGGGTAACCGGGCTCCGCCTACCAGCCAGCACAACTCAGGTACCAATTACAAAAAACTCCAGGTGTCGAGAGGTCGCTGTCTGAGAAAGTGTTGGTTTATAAGTTAAAATTTTTCTTCAGCTCCTCGCTCCAGAGGGGGAGGAGCTCCCAGAGGGGGAGGAGCTCCCAGAGGGGGAGGAGCTCCCAGAGGGGCCCCTGCCTCCGGCAGATTCTCCCTGATGAGGCAGCAGTCTAGCATGGAACAGCCCAGTCTACCCCGCCTCCAGAGTCAGCGCCGACATGACACCCCACCCCTCCAGCAACAGGACATGGGCTTCATGGACGTCCCCGATCAGGGCGCCGCTGGGTGAGACCTCCAGGAGCGACCCAGTTTAACCAGTAGCAGTAATGTAACCAATACCAGGGTCACCGGTAGATCCAGTAAAATGGTCACAGGTCATATGTACCTGTGTGACTTGAGTCTCTCAAATGTTACGTTGGCGTTACTGAAGCAGACCCAGCAGCTCCTTTTATTTCTGGTCCTGGTTCTGGTCCTTGTTCTACGCATTGTTCTCTGGTTCATTGTAAATAAGATGAATGGTACTGTAATCCCTGCGTGTTGCCTGCAGGCTGCAGAGACGGCGGTCAAAGGAGGTGAAGCCTCTTCCTGGTGCAGGTAGACCCGTGCCGGCTCCCAAACCGAAGCCTCGGTCTCCACAGTGCAAAGCTCTGTACGCTTACGACGCCCAGGACACCGATGAGCTCAGCTTCAATGCTAACGACGTCATTGAGATACTCACTGAAGGTACTGCTTCTGTTACTGCTAATCCTGTTGCCATTCTAGAACTACTGTTTCTTCTACTACTGATAATACTACTGGTACTATTTATATTATTACTGTTGCTACTACTACTGGTCTTTTTGTTGAGTGATGTGTCCGAGATTCAGTAAATGTACATCTAGTGTGACTCCACACGTTATTTTACCGGCCTGCAAGTTGTAGCAAAGCAGTCGACCACAGGTTAACTAACATTAGCTAACGTAACGTTAGACACATAGGACGTGACCATATTTGGACGAGAGGGTGGAGCTAGCTAGCTTGGTTAGCAAGGTGCATCTGTAATTCACGTTAACTGTGATATTAGCTGGGATGCTAATTTTGGCTAGCGACAAACGGGCTGAAAACAACATACTTACTGAAAAATGAGCAGCCGACTCCTGATGAGCTTTTGCAGGTTTAAGGTGCTTCAGGTTCAGACCTGGAGGTTCCTGCTTGGTCACATGACTGACCATCCGTCTATAGTTAACCAACTACACAGCAGTCGCCACTAAATATGACACATTTGGATGTTATGATTACTTTTGAGAACATTTTAAAATAAGTGTCACAGTAATGTAGCTGTTATCGCTAAATGAGAGCTACCGTAATTGATCGTTTGCTCCTCCCCTAAACAGCGTAACTTTGCAACAGTAACTACTGACAGCAGTATTTCCCATGTTGAAGGTGTGTACATGGAGCTGCAGTCAGAGAGGGTGGTGTTAAACATAAACTGCTAATGTTAGCATGCCTGGCTAATTAGCTTACTACCTACACTGCTCATCAAGACACAGAGTTAGCACAGCGTTAGCATGTCATCATTTTGTGGGTCCTGGATGAAAGTCTAGGCTAACGTTAGCCGTTTACACTGCAGCAGCTGCAGCAACACTTCAGACTCCGACCAGAATCGGCTGATAGTAGAATCAAACGTTGGGTCTCTGTTAATGAGATTATAAACGAGCTCTGCCCGTTATGAATCTGTGCCATATAAATATAAAGAGATCATTCACTCGGTCCGCTGTCTCTGGATTTTCTGCAGACCCGTCCGGCTGGTGGTTCGGTCGGTTGCGAGGCAGAGAGGGGATGTTTCCCGGAAACTACGTGGAGAAGATTTAGACTTCCTCTCCGGGGGGGTCAGAGATCACTGATCTGCTGCTGCCGTCGCCGGGGTCAGAGGTCACCAGAGCTTTCAACACTTCACCTGACAGGAAACAGGAAGCTGATTATTGAGTTTGACGAGTTCATTCATAAAGAAACCAATGTGTGTTTCAGTCAGTGCCGATGGCGTCCCCAGAGGTCAAAGGTCAGGGTCTGACTCCTGGACTGAAGGCTCGATCAGATTTTACATCAGTGTTATCATGGAAAGGCTGAAAACACATGAAAGATCTGCAGGTTGTAGCTCTCTGATCAAAAGACACAATAAAATGAAATATATGAAACCGTTTTTACAGTTAAATAATCTTTCAGAACAAATGTGTGTGTTTTATATCTGCTGACTGTGTTTTATAGAGCATCAACCAGCTGACCCTGGAACAGCCAATAAACTGACATTTCAGTACAAACCTGTTTGAGTTCCTGAGGAAACACATTCTTCATCGTTTACATTTTATTCACCGAACAATTTATCAATCAGCGGATTCATTGATAATGAAAATAACCATCAGTCAGCAGCCCTGCCTCAGATTAATGCATTTGTGAGTCAAAGCACGCGATTCAAAAAATCGGAACTCCATTTCCCAGAGTTCCATTCTTCATGGTTTCATGCTGCATTCAAATGCTGAAGGAAAGTTTAGATTTTAAGCTCGTGGTCCAAATTAAATAACCGAGAACCTGTCGGTGTTTTTACACATTGAGTGGCAGTTTATGAAGTGTCGTAATCTGATAAAGCTGTGAGTATAAAGACTCATTTTAAGAAGAAAATCTCTAAAACTTGTAGAAGATAAATTAATGTTATGACGTTAGTGATGAAATAATTGATAGATTTCAGTTAATTTGCTTATTAAATTGACTTCACTGACAGATATTAGTATTTTTCTCCTGCTGTCGGATCACTTAATTTAATGTTTTTAATTTTTTCATGCTAATCTGTTGTCTAATGCAGCAGTTAATGTGCAAACTACGTTTTCTATTTTTTTATTTTACCTTTACCTTATTTTACCAGGCAAGTTAATCAAGAACCGGTTCTTATTTACATTAACGGCCTGGCAGGATAGATGTGGCACCATAAACCAGAGACTGAGGCCTACACTAGTCTACAGAGAGGAAACAATCACCTGAGCAGGGCGTCCCTTTGAAAAATGTACTTCTTTCAGATTTATGTCTGCGTTTTGTTTTTTTAGCAGTAGCTTTACTAGCTTTAGCTTGTTGGAGCATGAACCTGAACATGTGATAAAGCATTTATTAAAGCTTGGATTCAGGTGTGAACACCTGGTGCTTCTTGTTCCATCTCACACCTTGTGCATCAGGCATGTACAGTTCTTTAGAGAACATGAGGAAGTACAGATAATGTTCACAATGACTTTATTGTTTATTATTTTTCCTTACCTTACACTACGTTTAATGTTGTGAATAAGCTGCATGTTGCATTCAGGTTCGTTTTAAATGAACCGGCCCCGTTTAAACTGTTCCTGGATCAGTTTGCGGAGAGACGACCCGTAATTCCGACGTTTAACCGGGTCCTTGAAGGCATCCTGACCTTTTACCGCCACACCGACGGTCGGTCACCGGGACCGTCATGTGTTCACGGCAGCGCGTGTGAGTCTCAGCCCCGCTGCTCAGTGAGTCGGCTGTCACAGATTACCGGACCCGTTAACCGGTTAGAGGAGGTGCTAGCAGGTTAGCTAGCGGTCCGAGCGGCGGAGTTAGCATCTAGCAGCTAACAGAAGATGGAGGAGTTTCTGTCGGGCTGCCGACGGGCCGTGAAGGTAACACGTTCACCTCAGCCCGGTAACGGCTGTTGTTGTTTGTTAGCATTAGCCACAGTTAGCCTGCTAGCTCGGACGGTGTCCGGTGTTTCCGTGCAGGTAAACATATCAAACAAATAAAGTCTAATTGTGTGACTTCCGTTCAGTTGCACCTTTCAAAGTAAACTTCCGGTAATTTGAACATTTTTAATCTTATTTTCAAACTAAAAGAAGAAAAACGGGAAAAAACACGATAAAACTGGACATTAAGTACATTTACTCAAGGACAGTACTTATATGAGGTACTTTCTCCTTGACGTTATACTGCAGTTACTTCACACATGAGGAGTTTATAAAATATGATGTTTGTTTGTTTAAAGTGCAGCTGGAGGATTATTAAACTGACAGACATTTAACGAAAACTCTTGATTGTTTAGGTCATTTTACATGGAAAATATTTCATGTTCCAGCTTCTCCTCTCAATGATTGTAATAACTGAGATGTTTGAAGGCGTCTCTTTGGGAAGGAAGGAAATAATCAGCAGGCTGATCCAGAATGAAAAGACTCATCAGCTGCAGTCTGAAACTGATCAGCTGAGAAGGAGCTGCAGCTCAACATCCTGCTGCACTTTACTGAGGAGGAAGAAGAACCTGTGACAGTTTACTGCTTTAATACTTTAAGACCTGATTATACTCACGTACTTTTACTAAAGTCACATTTTAATGCAGGACTTTTACTCCTAACAGAGTATTTTTTACAGTCAAGTATTAGTACTTTTACTGCAGCAAAGGATCTGAATACTTTGTCCACATATATAAACTGTGACGTCAGTGTGAACATTAACTGAACACCTGTATGCAGAGGGACACACCTGAGGGGGGACGTTAATAAAAGATGTTCAGTACATAGAGAATAACTATATACAAGTAAAGAGTGATTTTTAAATACATTATCTATAAATTAAATCTTGATTAGTATGATTGTTCTGAAGTGTTTTCTGGGGCGCTGAACCTTTAGTTGATGATTCAGACTGAAACAGGTTGTGGTTTGAGTCCTCCCTCCATCTCTGATGACCTGCTTGATGAGTTCTCCACTTTAACAAAGTGCCCTTTAGGTCGTCGGGTCAGTTACAGTCTGAGACCTCGTTGTCTTCAGAATTCATTTAAACAGGTCAGATTCTGCTCATAGCTGCTCGACACACGAGACGGGCCTGGAGGCAGAGATAAAGCTGATGTTGATCTGTTCCTGCAGAGACTCGTTGATTCTGACGACGACGGTTTAAAACTCAGATGGTCCCGTTCTGCTTTATTTAGAGGTGGGAGCAGAACAGGTTCACATGGCAGCTCCTCTTTTCTCCCTGAGTGTCGTACATTCTGTTTTAGATACCGAGCGAAGCATCTCACTTCTGTTAGATCTTTGTTAGGAGATGCACATGCTCAGAACCGAGGGAAGGACTACCAGCCAATCAGAAGCAGCTGAGGGCGGTTTAAATGTTTGGTGTCCGGAGGAGATTCTGGGTCTCCAGACTTCAGTTCCTGCGTTACGTGTTTATTATACAGTATTTTAGCAGACTGTGTCCTGCAGGTGAACGCAGACCAGGCGGGTCCAGGGTTCCACGTGGTTCTGGGGAACGAAGCCTGCGACGTGGACTCCATGGTGTGTGCGCTGACCTACGCCTACTTCCTGTCCAAGGTGAGACTCTGACCAATCGGAGCCGGTGTGTGTCCGCAGACCCGACCTCTGGCTGACTCGCTCTCTCTCTCTCAGACTGCACAGGGTGAGATGCTCGCTCTCCCTCTGCTGAACATCCGTCAGTCAGAGCTGCTGCTGCGTTCGGATAACGTCTTCCTGCTGCGGCAGGTCGCTTTGTCTCCAGATCTTCTGCTGTTCAGGGACCAGCTGGACCTGCGAGCGCTGCAGCGAGCCGGCCGCCTGCGGCTGACGCTGGTCGACCACAACATCCTGCCCAGGTAGCCACGCCCACCCGACAGGAGGCCATCAAACCAAATGCATTGACATAGCACGTTAAGAAACAACAGGAGAAGTGATGTACAAATGAATGTGAATCACGTGATTCGTAAAAACAGCAGCGCTGCGAAACAAAGTTCATTCTTAAAATAAAGGATTGTAAAATACTGAAAGCACTGACGCCGTTTTCTCACAACACAGATTTTAACGACGCGTTGCCTTTACCGCCTGAGTTCGACCGCTTGACTCCTCGCACGATGCGATAATACAAATAAGCACAGTGCTCCGCTCACAGAACACTCTGCTGCATTTCAACTAACCGCCACCAGGGGGCGACCTGACTGTGAGCACCCTCCAGGTGATGCAGCCAACAGGTGCGTTTGACTTCATGTGGCGCTGCGCAGCACTGACTTAACGTGATGCATGCTGGTTAGAAATTGTGTCGCCGGCGCCGCAAAACACACCATGTCACATGACATTTAAACCTCGCGGGGGCAAGGCGGCTGCAGGCGCCAAGTCCGGTGGCCGCAGTTGCTTTTCCCCGACTGCAAAGTTGGAACCACCTTTTGCCTGGTCTCCAGTCATTGATCTCAGCTCTCAGTGAGCTCACGCGGGTAGAATATGTTTTTGTTCCCCGCCCCTGCAGTCACCTGCAGCTCACGTTAGACTATCAAGTTGGCGAAAGTCAGCCGCCATCATTTCGAACGCACCTCAATATTCATGTAGCTGCAGCACCGGAGGCCGCAGCTCTAGGACCGTTTGCGACAGCGCCATCTAGTGGAGTGGTGGTGGTAATGCACAGCAACATGAAGGGGGTTAACATTGCCTCCTAGAAATGCAGGTCTGATCCTGAAACTGCAGCCTCCAGTAGAGTAGAGGAGTAATCCACAGAGAGGCATCACCGCTTCCATCCGACTCCCACACAGAGTGAACTAACGAACGCCATCTCCTTCCTGCCATAGAGAGGTCCAGATAACCAGCTTCAGGAAATCCCCTCAAGCGGTTCTCGCTCTCTGTACCTGGATGCAAAACTGTGAGGGCACATCGAGACGGACGTTACAGCGGAAACCACTGACCTCTGGTCACGCAGAACAACGGAGTCGGACATGAGTCTCATTCTGATGCAAAGATTTGTACATTAGCAGAAATGTAGCTCGAGGACGAGGAAGCCGTGCTCTGTTTACTTTAAAGTGCAATAAAAGTATTTAGTCCCTTAAATCAGGGAATAATCGTGGTCTTCATTTTGGCCGTAATCGTGCAGTTTGTGACAACCTGCCAGGTTTCACCACCGTGGAAAACCCCTGAAACGCTCATTTTAGAAACAAGCCACACTGATTCGTTGCCGGCTGGCGCGACAATTAAACCTCCTCCCGGTAAAAACCAGTCTGTTGGAAGGAGCGAGTGGGAGAGGAGCAGTGAAAGAAAGAAAAGATCAAAGTAAGGAAGTAAATCCCTTGCGTATCGTTTTTCATCCTGTACGCTTCTCTTCACCTTCGGATCATCATTCAACATTCGCTGTGCAAAATTGTATGCAGAAGCCGGTAAAACATTCACAACCCAGCAGCAAAAACCCGGACTGACGGACTGACGGACTGACGGACTGACTGACTGGACTCCGTGAGTTACCAAACTCGTTTTTCTGTACTATGACGTTTGTTTGTGACTGAGAAACTGAACCAGCTTTATTTATCTTTTTATGCTTGGGCACTGGGCTGAATTTATTTTTGTGTTTTGGAACTGAACTGCCACTAATTTGTGTTTGAGATTGTTTGTTTAAGTGTGCAGAAAACCCGAAGTGGAATCTTCAGTTGGATTGTGATTTACTTTGTGATTGTGTTTTTGTGTGAAATCTTAAATACACCAAAATTTTGTTTTGTGCTAAGCTTTTGAGTTTGTGGCGTTTCTTTCTTTTATGGTCATTCAGTGTGAGGGTGTACGTTCTTTTGAAATATATCCTTTGTGACATTTGATTTAAAAACAGTTGACCAGTATCTTACTGCCAGGGGAGAGACCTGGCTGGCACCCCGAATAGTAATAATTAAAACTGTGCACTCAAACTGTCACAAGCTCTAAAGCTGATGATACACGGAGCAACTTTTAGAGCAATGTTGCTGTCAATGGTAATGAGTAAAGATTACTACCGTAATCCCCTTTCCCCACCCTCTCCGCACTGACGCTGTCCGTTCAAAACATAGTCGGACTTGCCACTGTGGTGTCCGAACAATAATGCTGCGATGATGTGTTGAGAAGAAATCCGCTTGACACTGTTCTTGATCATAAAAGTTTATTACATCAAGGAGTTCAGCATCAATTACAAGCTCTGCAGCAGCTTGGAGAGACCCAGCCTGATAACCACTCTGTCTCTCTGTACATCAAACACAGCTTATATAGGACATGTTTAGGTCTCTGCCAAATACCATGTAAGGGTCTGAGTCTGCAAACTAAGGCTCCAATCCATATAAGAGCAAAGTTCTATAGGATAAGTGTAGACATCTTGTTGGACACCAGATAAGGGTCTGAGCCTCCACGTAACCACTGACCTCTGCTCTCCCCTTAAAGGTCACTAATCCTCTATCCAGCTGCTAGAGTGTTATGTTAAACTGTTATGCATCATATGTTATACACCACACCACCAGCAACATTGCTCAAAAAGTTGCCCTGTGTGTCATCAGCTTTACAGAGGAAATAAAATGGGCCCTAAAGTGGAACCTTGAGGTTCTCCACGGTTCCTAATTTCATTTGAAACCACAAACTGAAGCCACGTGGTCAGTTGGAACTTGGTACTCTAACTGGTGAACATGTTGTCAGGAAGGTTATTATAGTTACGACAACATTTAGTGACAGGACATCAGAGGAGGACCGGGCTCCTGAAGCTCGGACTGCACGGGTCACATGACCTCTAACCAGGCAGGAGTGAGGACGCCTGTCTCATCAGCCTGTTTCTGTCCTGCAGTTCAGACAGCGACCTGGAGGGGGCGGTGGTGGAAGTGATCGACCATCACCTGCTGGAGAGAGAGCCCTCCTCCTCCTGTACTGTTACCGTGGAGACGGTCGGATCCTGCGCCACTTTGGTGACCGAACGCATCATCCAGAAAGCTCCGGAAATCCTGGACCAGCAGGTCGCTCAGCTGCTCTACGGTAGGACTGAAACCATTCATCGCTTTAATCGATTACTGAAATGCATCGACGCCTCGTTGAATCCATACGATATACAGCTCACTGTTTCGCACAGACATTTATTACTGTCGCACATCGCGCTGACACTGACATCACGGCGTCTTCTCTCGTCCACAGCGTCAGCACGTTGTGCGACAGTAATAACCGTCCGTGTGAAACAGTGAGCTGTACAACGCCATCGAGTTTCTCAGAGAATCGTTTCAGGCCTGACTATCTGATTATGACTTTGTGTGTGCAGCGGCGGTGGTGTTGGACTGCGTGAACATGGCGCCCTCTGCAGGCAAAGTGACTCCTAAAGACAGCCAGTTCGCTGCAGCGTTGGAGATCCGCTTCCCCTCCCTGCCACCGAGGGGCGCTCTCTTCCAGACGCTGCACAACGCCAAGTTTGACGTCTCAGGTCAGTCACAGCAAAATGTTTTCAGTATTCACTGCAGTACGTGGAAGTACTGGTACTTGATAAAACTCTTACTGAACAAGTATTTGCAGTATTTGTCCTCAGGTCTGCAGTATTTTCAGTGTTTCCCCTTGGATGGAGTTTTTAAAATAAATTTCTGTCTGAATATAAAACCCCAACACAACACGTCTCAGCAACTTTGCTCTTGTGTCCATGAGCACGCGATGCGCCTTAGAACAGCTTCAAACTGCAGTGTTTTCCCAGTTTAATGGGAGCTTTACATGAATGTTTCAGTGGTGGTTGTAAAAGAAAATTCTACATTTTCCAATGAAAAATATGTAATTTCACATTATTTTCACCATATCTCTGAACAAAGAGCAGCCAAAGATCAGCCTGCTGGAGGAACTCCAACCTTCAGACCTGGAGAAAGTAATCTGGTTGGTTCTGTTGCTCCACAGTGATTTTACAGTGATGGCACGGCATGTTTTGGGCATCGCCCCTAAAACCCTGTTAATGTGACCTCAGAATCCTTACAGATACGACTCTTCATGTTTTGTGTCTTCATTTTACAGCTTCTTAATTAAAAAACATTAATATAAAAAATAGGCAACATGAGATTTTATGTGCACATTAAAATCCAAACAAACGTCTCCTCATTAGCTTCAAAGGACTAGTTTGCATCAGTAATTAGCTTTCCTAACCTCAGCTCCTCCAGTCAGCTGCAAGTTTGTACCTGATGTTCTCAACATTGGACAAGTAGGCAGTAATAAAATCCAGCTTCCAGTTACTTTCTATAAACTGAGCTAATGTTCAGTCACAGAGCAGCTCTGTAGCTGCTGTAGAAGCTGCTCAGTCTGAAGGGGAGATGCTAGCTAACGTAGCGCTAACCGGCTTCGCTTTTCCAGCAGCTGGGAAACAACAGACTTTTCTTTGTCTTGAGAAGCCGACACGCTGTAACAGACACCGTGTGCGCACAGTGTGCGAGTGAAAACATTTGTAGCACATAGTTTAATGATGGTGGGAAATTTTAGTAGCGGCGGTCGTGATGCGTTATAGAATGCATATAGAGGAAACACTGATTTTGTAGTATTTATTGCAGTATTTGTCCACAGGTCTGAACACAGAACAGATGTTGTTGAAGGACATGAAAGCTGCTTCAGGAAGTTTGAATCTGGCTGTCTCTGTTCTCTACATCAAACTGGAGGTCAGTCAGTACTACACACTGTACTACACTGTACTCTACACTGTACTACACTGTACTCTACACTGTACTACACACTGTACTACACTGTACTCTACACTGTACTACACTGTACTCTACACTGTACTACACACTGTACTCTACACTGTACTCTACACTGTACTCTACACTGTACTACACACTTTACTACACTGTACTACACACTGTACTACACACTGTACTACACTGTACTCTACACTGTACTCTACACTGTACTACACTGTACTCTACACTGTACTACACACTGTACTCTACACTGTACTACACACTTTACTACACTGTACTACACTGTACTGCACACTGTACTACACACTGTACTGCACGCTATAGTAGACTCTACTGCACACTGTACTGCACACTGTACTACACACTGTACTGCACGCTATAGTAGACTCTACTGCACACTGTACTACACACTGTACTGCACACTATAGTAGACTCTACTGCACACTGTACTGCACACTGTACTGCACACTGTACTGCACGCTATAGTAGACTCTACTGTACACTGTACTACACACTGTACTACACTCTATAGACTGTACTGCACACTGTACTGCACACTGTACTTCACTCTATAGTAGACTGTACTGCACACTGTACTGCACACTGTACTGCACACTGTACTACACGCTATAGTAGACTCTACTACCACTGTACTGCACACTGTACAACACACTGTACTACACGCTATAGTAGACTCTACTGCACACTGTACTGAACGCTATAGTAGACTCTACTGCACACTGTACTGCACACTGTACAACACACTGTACTGCACGCTATAGTAGACTCTACTGCACACTGTACAACACACTGTACTGCACACTGTACAACACACTGTACTGCACACTGTACTGCACCCTGTACTGCACGCTATAGTAGACTCTACTGCACACTGTACAACACACTGTACTGCACACTGTACTGCACCCTGTACTGCACGCTATAGTAGACTCTACTGCACACTGTACTACACGCTATAGTAGACTCTACTGCACACTGTACTGCACACTGTACAACACACTGTACTGCACACTGTACTGCACACTGTACTGCACGCTATAGTAGACTCTACTGCACACTGTACTACACCCTGTACTACACCCTGTACTACACTGTACTCTACACTGTACTGCACACTGTACTACACACTGTACTACACTCTATAGTAGACTGTACTGCACACTGTACTGCACACTGTACTGCACACTGTACTGCACGCTATAGTAGACTCTACTGCACACTGTACTGCACACTGTACTGCACACTGTACTGCACGCTATAGTAGACTCTACTGCACACTGTACTGCACACTGTACTACACGCTATAGTAGACTCTACTGCACACTGTACTGCACACTGTACTGCACGCTATAGTAGACTCTACTGCACACTGTACTGCACACTGTACTGCACACTGTACTGCACGCTATAGTAGACTCTACTGCACACTGTACTGCACACTGTACTACACGCTATAGTAGAATCTACTGTACACTGTACTGCACACTGTACTGCACACTGTACTGCACGCTATAGTAGAATCTACTGTACAGCACACTGTACTGCCGCTGTACAACACACTGTACTGCACGCTGTACAACACACTGTACTGCACGCTATAATAGACTCTACTGCACACTGTACTGCACACTGTACTGCACGCTATAGTAGACTCTACTGCACACTGTACTACACACTGTACTGCACACTGTACTGCACACTGTACAACACACTGTACTGCACGCTATAGTAGACTCTACTGCACACTGTACTACACACTGTACTACACACTGTACTGCCACTGTACAACACACTGTACTGCACGCTATAGTAGACTGTACTGCACACTGTACTGCACACTGTACTACATACTGTACTACACACTGTACTGCACACTGTACAACACACTGTACTGCACGCTATAGTAGACTCTACTGTACACTGTACTACACACTGTACTACACTCTATAGTAGACTGTACTGCACACTGTACTACACTCTAGTAGACTGTACTACACACTGTACTGCACGCTATAGACTGTACTGTACACTGTACTGCACACTGTACTTCACTCTATAGTAGACTCTACTGTACACTGTACTGCACGCTATAGTGACTCTACTGTACACTGTACTGCACGCTATAGTAGACTCTACTGTACACTGTACTGCACACTGTACTGCACGCTATAGTAGACTCTACTGCACACTGTACTGCACACTGTACTGCACGCTATAGTAGAATCTACTGCACACTGTACTGCACACTGTACTGCACGCTATAGTAGACTCTACTGTACACTGTACTGCACACTGTACTGCACACTGTACTGCACGCTATAGTAGACTCTACTGCACACTGTACTGCACACTGTACTGCACGCTATAGTAGAATGTACTGCACACTGTACTGCACACTGTACTGCACGCTATAGTAGACTCTACTGCACACTGTACTGCACACTGTACTGCACGCTATAGTAGAATCTACTGCACACTGTACTGCACACTGTACTGCACGCTATAGTAGACTCTACTGCACACTGTACTGCACACTGTACTACACGCTATAGTAGAATCTACTGCACACTGTACTGCACACTGTACTGCACACTGTACTGCACGCTATAGTAGACTCTACTGCACACTGTACTACACACTGTACTGCACACTGTACTGCACGCTATAGTAGACTCTACTGCACACTGTACTGCACACTGTACTGCACACTGTACTACACACTGTACTGCACGCTATAGTAGACTCTACTGCACACTGTACTGCACACTGTACTGCACGCTATAGTAGACTCTACTGCACACTGTACTGCACACTGTACTGCACACTGTACTACACACTGTACTGCACGCTATAGTAGACTCTACTGCACACTGTACTGCACACTGTACTGCACACTGTACTACACACTGTACTGCACGCTATAGTAGACTCTACTGCACACTGTACTGCACACTGTACTGCACACTATAGTAGACTCTACTACACTGTACTACACACTGTACTGCACACTGTACTGCACACTGTACTGCACGCTATAGTAGACTCTACTGTACACTGTACTACACACTGTACTACACTCTATAGTAGACTGTACTGCACGCTATAGTAGACTCTACTGTACACTGTACTACACACTGTACTACACTCTATAGTAGACTGTACTGCACACTGTACTACACTCTATAGTACTGTACTACACACTGTACTGCACGCTATAGACTGTACTGTACACTGTACTGCACACTGTACTTCACTCTATAGTAGACTCTACTGTACACTGTACTGCACGCTATAGTAGACTCTACTGTACACTGTACTGCACGCTATAGTAGACTCTACTGTACACTGTACTGCACACTGTACTGCACGCTATAGTAGACTCTACTGCACACTGTACTGCACACTGTACTGCACGCTATAGTAGAATCTACTGCACACTGTACTGCACACTGTACTGCACGCTATAGTAGACTCTACTGTACACTGTACTGCACACTGTACTGCACACTGTACTGCACGCTATAGTAGACTCTACTGCACACTGTACTGCACACTGTACTGCACGCTATAGTAGAATGTACTGCACACTGTACTGCACACTGTACTGCACGCTATAGTAGACTCTACTGCACACTGTACTGCACACTGTACTGCACGCTATAGTAGAATCTACTGCACACTGTACTGCACACTGTACTGCACGCTATAGTAGACTCTACTGCACACTGTACTGCACACTGTACTACACGCTATAGTAGAATCTACTGCACACTGTACTGCACACTGTACTGCACACTGTACTGCACGCTATAGTAGACTCTACTGCACACTGTACTACACACTGTACTGCACACTGTACTGCACGCTATAGTAGACTCTACTGCACACTGTACTGCACACTGTACTGCACACTGTACTACACACTGTACTGCACGCTATAGTAGACTCTACTGCACACTGTACTGCACACTGTACTGCACGCTATAGTAGACTCTACTGCACACTGTACTGCACACTGTACTGCACACTGTACTACACACTGTACTGCACGCTATAGTAGACTCTACTGCACACTGTACTGCACACTGTACTGCACACTGTACTGCACACTGTACTACACACTGTACTGCACGCTATAGTAGACTCTACTGCACACTGTACTGCACACTGTACTGCACACTATAGTAGACTCTACTACACACTGTACTACACACTGTACTGCACACTGTACTGCACACTGTACTGCACGCTATAGTAGACTCTACTGTACACTGTACTACACACTGTACTACACTCTATAGTAGACTGTACTGCACGCTATAGTAGACTCTACTGTACACTGTACTACACACTGTACTACACTCTATAGACTGTACTGTACACTGTACTGCACACTGTACTTCACTCTATAGTAGACTGTACTGCACACTGTACTGCACACTGTACTGCACGCTATAGTAGACTCTACTGCACACTGTACTGCACGCTATAGTAGACTGTACTGCACACTGTACTGCACACTGTACTTCACTCTATAGTAGACTCTACTGCACACTGTACTGCACACTGTACTACACTCTATAGTAGACTCTACTGTACACTGTACTGCACACTGTACTGCACACTGTACTGCACACTGTACTGCACGCTATAGTAGACTCTACTGCACACTGTACTGCACACTGTACTACACGCTATAGTAGAATCTACTGCACACTGTACTGCACACTGTACTGCACGCTATAGTAGAATCTACTGTACAGCACACTGTACTGCACGCTGTACAACACACTGTACTGCACACTGTACAACACACTGTACTGCACGCTATAATAGACTCTACTGCACACTGTACTGCACACTGTACTGCACGCTATAGTAGACTCTACTGCACACTGTACTGCACACTGTACTGCACACTGTACTGCACGCTATAGTAGACTCTACTGCACACTGTACTACACACTGTACTGCACACTGTACTGCACACTGTACAACC